AAACAAACGGTGCTGGCACTCACTATAAAATGGTTCCTTTACTTTAACGGTTGGCTGGGTGTGCTTACATTTGGCCTTGCCAGTAAATCTTATGTTATTTTTAATCCTACAACTAGGGCTGGGGGGGGGGGGGGGGGGGGGGGGGGGGGAAGGTAGGGCGCCGGTACTCACCACAAAGTGTCTAAGAAAAAGTGCAGGCATTACCTACAAAGTGTCCACTGCAGCAGTGCTGAAAAAAAAAATATCTTTAAAAAAGGTGCAGGTACTGCGTACCGTCAGGGAAAAAAAAATATACTTTTAAACACAAGTGGGCAGGCAGCAGTTAATTTTTTACTAAAATAATAAAATAAAATGAGGCAAATGCTTATTTTAGAAGGCCCTGCGTGAAAAGTAAAAGTCTAGCCACATCTAACGGTGTTTTATTTGGTATCCATAAGTTAGCCAGTACTAAGAGAAGAACTGAAAAGAGTTAAAGCTATTACCAGACTTAGACTGCCTTTACCTCACTTAAAATTCCTATGGGTTAACTCCGTGACACTGTAACAGCCATAATCAATCCTAGTATCAATGCCCCTGAAAATATCCTGCTAACAAACTGTAACACTGATTTTCGTTCTGGTCCACCAGAGGTTTAGAATGAAGGCTGTTTATCATGTGTGTTCATTCATTCATTCAGTAGCATGTCCCTCGCGGAACCTCGCTGCCATAACAACCCTCCGGAAAACCTTCCTATCCTGAGCAAGATGTCCTGCGTCTGATACACCCATCTTGAGATCATCCTTGGCCTTCCTCTTCCTCTCTTCCCAGGCATATACCCCTCCATTATTGTTCTCTCTAGACTTCCCATGACGTTTCAAGTGACCAAATATTTCAATTTTCTTTGTTTTATTGTCTTTTACTAGCCAACCCTCTTCAGTATTCAGCTCTTGAAGTATGGATGCATTTGTTCTTTTCTTTACCCAAGATATTCTTAGAACCTGTCTGTAACATTTATATTCAAATGCATTTATGCGCTGTTCCGCTTATCACGTGTGTACAGGGGAAAATATTTCTCAGTTTTCACGTAAAGAAAGTATATCAGTCAGACCAAAAACATATTAACAAAAGCACTAACATCCATACAGCTAGAAACGTCATTCATATTTTGAGCTATACAGACCAAATTTTTAAAAAAAAAAAATGACATAAGGGTTAGAAGAAGATGACAAAAACGCCATGGAAGAAGAAACACAATCATTATATACATTTCAATGCAAGTGACATGGTCACTAGTTCTTCTGTTCCAACTCTCTCTCTCTCTCTTGTGTCAAACACAAATGCAGTTAAGATTACTATTATAGCAGTTCACACACACTGACTGATCTGGACATGAAGATGGGAAAACGAAGCATGTGGTTTGTACAACAGTATCTACATAAATACATGATACATTAATAATCATATATCCTGTACAAGTGTTTCTCTGAAAACTACACAACCATCGATATATAAAAAGTACAAAGTAATCACATATGTCCGTCACCCATTTATGTTCGGACCTCGGTAGAAGCTCGTGACTGTAAGTGGTTTTTCTACAAACAAAGGCAGTACACACTCACAGTGCATATACATTATTCTTACAAACTGTGTTAACATATAGACCTGCATTGTACGTAGATTTTTTTTTTTTTTCTGCTTTTAAAGTTCCCCATGAGTATTGCAGGCTGAAAGAATGACAGTCTGTGGCTCAAGGAGTCACCATGAGCATGTGAATCAAACAGGAGTATATGTCAGACACTTCTTCAACCCCATGGGTCAGCTGTATGGGGGGTCGACAGTCAGGTAACGCACTTTCTTATGAGTTGGGTGTTTCAACATGACTATAATCTGACTTACACTAGTCAACAGTTTATCTCCAGATGTTTCTGACTGAGCATAACCCCCCCCCCCCCCCCCCCCCCCTAGTTATTCAACAACACAGACAAGGGATTACATATAAGCTGACTTCCAATTTATTTTAATGACAGAATTTTGCGAATAAAAAAATCAGACTTTTCATGAGTTATTTAAAAACTGTGCAGACTGTTGCTACCATAATTTTTTTTGCGAGCAGCGCAGAACAGAGGAGACTTATGCTTAGGGATGTAAGACTTCAAGACTAGTCAACAAAGACAGCAGGTTTGAAATTTTTTTTTTTTAAATTATGTGACTCCAACAAATTATCCAGAGAAAGGCTTTACACTGTTTAACTGTTCTAGTAATTTTACAAGAACCTAAAAATCAAACCAAAAAAAAAACGAAATCATTTCAACAACAAATAAACCGGGAAAACAAAAATGACATCTCTGATGAGGATATTTTCTCCTGTTGATGAGGCGAGACATAAATTCATTCCCCTGTAGGTAGACTGAGTTTAGTCAAAGACTAGATCAAGCAAACCCAAAAAAATGTTTGCCGAAATCGAATGAAACTGTCACAAGCTTCATGAATCAAAATCAAGGTATCTCACACTGCATGACTGTTCTGCACTCACAGTGACTCCTTACATGGTGTCTTTCTTTAATGGCGTCTTCTTCTTAAGCATTTCGGACTCTTGAGGTTCCTGCTGCAGATATCACTCACCTCCATTCATCTTTGTAACTCCTTTCCAGTTAGTGTTGAACTCCAAGAGTTTGTAGGTCTGCCTAGATATTACCTCTCCACCGTCTTCTTCGTCTGCCTCATGGTCTGTGACCATTCAACTCTCTTGTGTACAGTTTTCACCTGTCATTTACCATTCTCTTAATATGTTCCAGCCATTTCTGTCTATTAGCCCTCATGATGCCAGTGTTGTTTCTTCTTCTTTCTCCATTCACAACTGTTTGTACCTCTGATGGGTCTAAAGATTTACTGTAAGACTATTTTCCAAAATTTGTAAAAAGGCTCAATCTCTTTCAGTTGTGCTCCAGGTCTCAGAGCTTACAATAAGGCAGCTTGTTTTATCTGCATTTTATATCTAGCGATTTTGGTGTTACTTCATTTCTCACTCTTAAAATCAAAATTTGATGCCATTCACCATTTTGACTCCTCATCTGAATGTTTTTCTTTAAAGCTTGGCTGGGTTGGTACTTTTACTGAGTAATATCTTGCACAGAAAAATGCTGAGGCAAGCAGATCCCCAGTACTGGTAGATTCCTACACAGTAGAGACATTCAGCAGAGGCCCATAAAATGAAGCTTTGTAAAATATTGTTCCGATTTTCTTTTAGCCAGATTTTTAATGTTGAAACATTGTTAAAGAAATTTAAACTGCTTCCCAATCAAATCTCCTCTTAACTGATAAGAAACTGACAATTACACTTAGATTCAGCCCATATCAAATCACTAGAAATAAGTACTCAAACCACTGGCACAAAATAAGGTTTGCTTCTGTGCAATCAAAAAGGAAACAGGACTTCTGTTAGGGGAGAACACACCTAGTTTACCTCACAACAAGCATGTTGTTTAAAACTGTTTGGCTGGTACCCTTATGTCTTTCCAGATAATACTGTGATATGGTCTTACTGCAGTGATTCTCAGCCTGTGGGGTGCCGCCTTTTCTGGATCGAACAACCCATTCATAGGGATCGCCTAAGACCATAGGAATTCACATATTAAATTAAGTTTTAACTAAAAACGAAAATAATTGTTTGGTTAGAGGTCGCCACAACATGATGAACTATGTTAAAGGGTCGCGCCATTAGGAAGGTTAAGGGTCACTGTGCTATGGGAAGGCACGGAAATCATAGCCCATGGTGATGGTCAAGAGTGACCAGCAAGACCAGCCCTTGTAAAGAAGAGCCTTCTACAATTACAACATGGGATTTCAGAGACTAATTAATTAGAGGTTTGCTGCTTCTTTATTCCTCACGTTCACCTGCTGTAAACTTTGACGGAAAAGTTCTGTGTGCTCGTCTATCTGCAGGCATGCACATCCGTTTCCCACATCTGACTAATATGTGTGCAGACCCTTGGTTCCTTGCCTCTCAGGCAGAGGTTCTCCATATCTGAAGGAAAGGGGTTTGCTGAAACTGAAGGTGTTATGCCTGAAAGTGCAGATATCGCCACCTAGCTGTAAAACCCACAATGTGCCAACTGCCTTGTTAGTGGTGACTGCAGAAGAACAGGACACAGAGCAGAAGAAACTATCATTTCCTAAATGTGATGTGATCAATTTTTAGTGTCTGAGGAGAACTTTGTTTATGGTCGAGATAAAAGATACAAGCTGGTAAAGCTGGTACTTAAGCTTCCCCACTTTATTAACAAAGCTGCAAATCAAAGAATAACAGAAACCTAATTTTGAAATATCAGTACATAGTCCTCACAGGAATCAAGATGATAAAACACAGGAACACTGTCCACTTCTGAAAACACAGGCATCCAAGTTGCTCTTAAATACAATATCCTTTGGGAAAAGTCCTGGACGAGTCATGAGAAATCGCAATGTACACAATCAATGGTGAAAATAAAAATGCTTGTCAGTCAAGACTCCACCAAGGGGGGAAAACTGTCCAGAAGTAATGAGAGTGAGTACATATGGTTTTTGAAGACAACACAAAGCAGCAAATATCTGTACAACTATGATTTACTAGACTACACATCCATTTATGAGTACGCTGGTATTGTTGGCTCTCACTGTAAACGCATGTCCATATAACCTGACACACTGGCAGAAATATCAGACAATGCTTCTGAAGAGTTATCCAGTGTCCATTTGATATATCTGCCTCATGAAAGGTAATCCCAATAAATGCCTGGTACAGACACACACACACAAAACATGCTAAATACCCACCGACAGTAGTCTCAATGTAACCCTTTTCCCCACCCTAAAATCCCCTCTGTGTCCAGCCCAGTCACTCGCAGACAGACACAACACTATACAAATCTGTAACCAGCTCCCGCTGAATCCAAGCAATTGTATTATCCAGAGATGGGTGTATTCATTCAGAATGAGGCTGCTACTCCATCTGGCCGAAGTTATGTATTCCATTTGGTTTGTGCTCACACTACCGACTCATTGGTTCTGTGGATAAATATTCTACTAGAGAATGTCCTCCAGGAGTGGAAAGTTTTCCCAGTCCAAATCCACACCCCAGACGTGATGCCCACAATGACTGTCATTAAATACTTGATCATGAAGACATTGAAGTCTGGCCATGGCTTGGAGGTTATTCCATACGGGCAGTTGATATGAAAATGCTTGCATTCGCCATCATACCAGGTCACCATCCATTTATCTCGGAATGCTTGCTCATAAAAGTAGCAAGCAATGACAATAGTTGCTGGAACTGTGTAGAGGACTGAAAAAATTCCAATTCGTACCATCAGCTTCTCCAGTTTGTCGGTTTTGGTGCCGTCGCTCTTCATGATTGTGCGAATACGAAACAAGGATACAAAGCCAGCCAGAAGAAAAGATGTTCCGATGATGAGGTACACAACAAGAGGAGCCAGCACAAACCCTCGGAGAGCATCCACGTCAAAGATCCCTGTGTAGCAAACACCACTCAGAACATCCCCATCAACCTGCCCCATGGCCAGGATGGCGATGGTTTTAATAGCAGGTACAGCCCAGGCAGCCAGATGAAAATACTGAGAGTTGGCTTCGATAGCTTCATGGCCCCATTTCATGCCAGCGGCCAGGAACCAGGTCAGGGTCAAAATAACCCACCAGATGGAGCTGGCCATGCTGAAGAAGTACAACATCATGAAGAGAATAGTGCAACCTTCTTTCTTAGTTCCCTGAGTCACCACCTGGAGCATGTCTTCTTTTCGAGTATTCATATTCGGAGGCTCAAATGGTCCACTACAAGAAATTTTTTCCCTGAGAGCAAATCCGACTACGTAGGCAAGAGCCACCATAAAGTAACAACCAGAGAGGAAAATGATTGGTCGTTCGGGGTATCTAAACCTCTGCATGTCGATGAGAAATGTCAGCACAGTGAAAAGTGTGGAGGCCAGGCATATGCATGACCAAACCCCAATCCACCATTTAGCAAAATTACGTTCTTTTGGGTCAAAGAACATGTTATAACATGGGGCACCGCAGTTCTTCTCCACATCATCCCCCACTTTCAGATGGTAGTCGAACCCCTTGGGCATAGTAAGATACGATGGACATCTGAAGCCTAGATCACGAGTTGGTGGTCCATTATCCCACGGTGGAAGAGTTTCTCCTAGAAAGGGAAGAAGAAAAAGAAAACAAAGTCACAAAAATGGGAAAAAAAAAAAAACTAAAAGTTACTATGTAACTTTGTTTAGGTATGTAAACTTCAGATGTCACATTTAACTTCAGAGATATTGCACTTGTTTACGAAAGGTAATTCAAAGTTTTACTTCCTGTAGGCCATGGCTTCAAATCCTGGCTGGGTAACAACTAAATCCTGGTTGGGCAACTTAACCTAAAGCTTTGATTTCTGTATTGTTCAGTGTGTTCTTCTTCTTCTTCGCGTTCACCAGCTGTAAACTCTGGCGGAAGGTTCTGGTTGCTCGTCCACTACTGAACTGCAGTCCTGCTCCAGAACCTGAGTGTTGCGTGTGCATCAGTTTTACAGATCTCATTCTCTTGAATACAGACTGTTGGTTCCTTGCCTCTTCAGCAGATGCACTCCGACTTCAAAGGAAGCTCCCAATTAGTCGACTCTTACGACATGCTTTTGGGGAGGCAGTGGGTCTATTCTTGTTTTCCCCAAAATGGGGCCCCAGGAACCCACACAGGGCTAGTGTGTTCTATTTCTTAGTCTTCCTTCTAAATTTGTTAGCGCTGATTAACATAAATTGGTTTGTGTATCATGCTGCAGCAAAAAACAGCACCAAAAACAAGAGTAACTGTGCTGTTTACTGGAGAGATTTTGTCCGTCTTTCTATGTTATAATATTTATTTGTGACCTTCTGAATACTGCTGACATATGAAAACTGACCTGCATAAACCCTGAATGACAGCTGTAAAATTCACACATGGCTGTTAGATTTTTTTTTAAAGCTGATAAATGTATAGAAGAGACTGGGAAATGATGAGCTGAGTGTAGACACCGAGCAGACCTAACAGAAAATTAAAATTCCAACAGTTTAAGAATGTTCTTTCTTCAGTCCTGCATGTAAGCAAGCATCAGCTCTGAAAGGCATTGTGTGCAGGTCCTAGTATGTGCTATGTGGATGCTGCTCTTTACGGCCTCGGATATTTCATCTATTTATTCTTTGCAGAACCCCTGGCTCAGCTTCTATTATGTTTAAGTGACAAGGCACTTCCATCTGGTAGTAGACTTCACACATGTCCAAACCATTTGATCAGTTGTCTTCTGATATAGTTTAGCACTGGTTCCATTCCAACTTCTTTTCTGATCAGGTCTCTTCCAGTAACATTTAGAATTCAGTGTAGACACTTAATTTCTGTTGATTAAATTGTTGCTGTTGTTAAATGTCTGCATTTGGCATTGATTTAAAAAAAATGGTGGTAAAAATACTAAATGAAGTTCTCTTTTGATGTCAACTGTTACAATATAATATTGTTTAATGATTAAAAATATCACAAGACATAACTTGACCATATGTTTAGTTACTTAGAAAGAAAAAACTTCACAAAAACTATTTATAGAACAAAGATGTGAGCAGGAAAGGCAGAAGAAGAAGCTGCAAATCACAACACATTTTCTCACAAAAACAGCATATTCCAAGACCTTGAAAATGGTTTACAAATTAAAGTCAGGCTAACAGCATTAATGGCCTACCCTTCACAGACAAATATTCATGAAAACTTGAAAGGATAACCCAAATAATTCACAGTATTTAAAGAGCCAGTTTATGCATGGAATAAATTATCACTGTGCTGTCAGAGGAATCTTCAGGCTAGAAAAGAATAATGTTAGTTCAATGGCTGTGCAATGTCCTCTGAGTTTACTTTACCAGCCTTCTCAAATGACTGTTCAGTTTGTGGGCAAATAGTGTTAGGCAGGTGGCCCAAAGAAAACACAAAAGATAGTTTTGGTGCACAAAACTATCCACCAAATTTCAGCTGTACTGCCCTGGATGTTTTGAGATTGAATGTGGGAGGAAATTTGCAAGGTAACTGAACTGTGTTTAGCATCTAGCACCCTACTCACAGTAGACAGATGTGTCTTACAATAAATTACTACCAGAAAGTGGGGGTGGTGATGATGTCTCTTGAGACAAGGATAATGATACCATTCCTCTTTAATAGCCTCAACACTATTATCTCTTTAGGACTGCTGTCATTTTTTTTAGGCTTGACAATTTTTACATTTATAGATAGATAAATGCCAAATTACAATTTCTTTCAGCAACTCTTGGTGCTGTCAGATGCCTTATGACTTTACTGTATGCGAAGGTTTTCAGCTTCTGGTTAGAATACATGTTTTGTCAACTACTGTTTGAATTGCGCGCTGCAAAACATTTCATGTGATTTTCAAGGGCACAGGAATGGAGTAATTATTGGGTGGCCCATTTGCAGTGAAGCTGAGACATTAACTATAAATTACAGATATAGAATTGTGGTTTTTTTTTATTTTTTTTTTACACAAAGCAATGAAGAGAACATCATAGGCAGATAAAAAAGCAATGAAGATACCTTCAAAGAAATCAGCTCACAAAGAGAATCAGCACACCAAGTAAATCCACATTCTCTTGAGGTGACATGTAAAGGGGACAGGGATGAACCAACTAGTCCTGCTAAAAAAATGCACAATAGTGACTTTTGATAAGTTTAATGGTATTGTTATTTCTTGTGAGGCTTGGTGCTTAGTGTGGAAAGACTGGCAATGTCTCTATGAGAGAGGGATCCTTGGCATTTTTTACTGTTGTATGCCAGATATTAACAAACACATTGTCCTCCGTACCACACCTGCAAACAATGGGATATCCTACAATACTACACCACGCTGACAGGGCCCTGCTCCTGAAAACTGATTATATACTTGCACAACGTACAGATGTTTTATAGCCTGTATCTATACATAAAGGTAACCGGGACATTATAGTATATAGATGGGTGTAACTGTTATGTAACAACATAGTGAGCTGCTTCATTTTTTAAACTTATTTCAGGATGCCGATATCCTTGATGAAAGCTACCTGTGCAGTCCAAATCTCCCTGTGTGCCACACAGCTTTGTTTTGATTGAGCTCGGCACAAGCCAGGTGGTCTCTCGTGAGCAGCATACAGTCTACAATGTTGGAAGTACATGCTCAGCATTTTCAGATGCCAAGTTGCAAATATAGATGTCTCTGTGTTTCCGATAATGAAACACTTGAACATTATATTGGGAGAGTCGTGCCCTGTTTAAAGCTCATACACTGTCCCTCCCTTTGAGAGGTGATGAACCAAGTCTTGGGGTGGAAATCTGGTGTGCTGTGTGCTTAACCAGCAGCCTTTCTTGGTTTCTAGTTTAAAAGTTTGTACAGTGTGTCAAACACGATGTCTGATTGTGGCTAAACCAAAGATGGCCAGAGAGAACTATGAAAAACTCACGATACTGCACGTGTTCCTGAATAATTTGGTGGGTTTGAACCGATACCATCCGTCAATGCTGTATACAAGTTTCAGTCCCTATAGAATTTCACATAATTTTAGTTTTTAAAAAGTTAATTACATGTCCTTTTGTCATTATTCTTCACCACAGGACTTGAATGAGTATGATAATAATAACTGAATTAAATTTGCTTAGTTTTAAGTGAGGAAATGTTGAGCAATGATATTTGTTTCTGAATACCATGGTTCTTAACAAGACAAAACTGCGAAGCATCCACCCACTACTGAAGAAATATCAGATCCGCTGGGCTGGTCACCTAGCCCACATGCCAGGTCATCAGCTCCAAAAAAAAAAAATATTTTATGGTGAACTCCAGCATGGGTAAGGATCCACAGGTAAACAGAAATCAAACTGCTACAAGGACTCTTAAAATGGCTTTCAAATTTGTTGGCATCCAGACAGAAAATAAAACGCTACAAGGACTCTTAAATTGGCTCTCAAATTTGTTGGCATCCAGACTGAAAATAAAACGCTACAAGGACTCTTAAAATGGCTCTCAAATTTGTTGGCATTGAGACTGAAAATAAAACGCTACAATGACTCTTAAAATGGCTCTCAAATTTGTTGGTATCCAGACAGAAAATAAAACGCTACAAGGACTCTTAAAATGGCTCTCAAATTTGTTGGCATCCAGACTGAAAATAAAACGCTACAAGGACTCTTAAAATGGCTTTCAAATTTGTTGGCATTGAGACTGAAAATAAAACGCTACAAGGACTCTTAAAATGGCTTTCAAATTTGTTGGCATCCAGACTGAAAATAAAACGCTACAAGGACTCTTAAAATGGCTCTCAAATTTGTTGGCATTGAGACTGAAAATAAAACGCTACAAGGACTCTTAAAATGGCTCTCAAATTTGTTGGTATCCAGACAGAAAATAAAACGCTACAAGGACTCTTAAATTTGTTGGTATCCAGACAGAAAATAAAACGCTACAAGGACTCTTAAAATGGCTCTCAAATCTGTTGGCATCCAGACAGAAAAGTGAGGCTGTTGCACAAAGCCTATCTCGATAGCATACAGCCCTAAAAAAATTGGTGCATCAACCTACCAGGCAGCAGAGGTCACACTGGAAGAGACACAGAGGCAGACTAGAAAGAACCATGTGGCAAATCCTACCTACATGTTACCAACATTCGTTGTCCACACTGCTTAAGAATGTTCCTAGCTGCAACTGGACTTTTCAGTCATCTTCGTACTCACAATCATTGATCAATATTAGTTGTTTCAAGCAAAAAAGGTCTTCATCACTTGTGAATAAAACAAACAAAAACATCCAGTATTTGTTAGTGTTTTTTGCTGATACCTAGCAGTTTTCTACTGTTAAGGAACAAAAACTCAAAGTGGTCTGCTGCCAAATCACCTGCAGCTGAAGCAAACTAAGAGTAATGAAATTATGCAACTGTGTCCATAACCACCAAACTAGAGAAACTGGCATATAATAATACTATATGTGAACAAAATAATAAAAATAGTTGCCAAAATTGAAAAGGATCAGTAAAGCTTACCAAAATCTCAGCAATCTTTCCTGCAGTAGGAGGACGCCCCCCCCCCCTTTTCCAAGTAATTCTCTAGCGCCTAAATTTCAACTGGCATAGTCTTGTGTCTGTGCTGCTCTTTGGCGTAGAGCAG